CAAACCATCCAAAGCAAAACAGCAAAGCATCATCTGCACCTCTCAAATGACACTGCTACATGCTAAGTCGCTTCAGCCATGTCCAACTCTTTGCGACCCTATGGACTATAGCCCACCAGGCGATTCTCCAGACAAGAATACTGGAGTGGGTAGTCATTCCCTTCTCCAGGGGATCTTCCTGACCTAGGGATTGAACACAGGTCTCCTGTATTGCAGGTGGATTCTTTACCATCTGAGCCACCAAGGAAGCCCCAAACGACATTAAAGTTCTATTAAAAATGAGTTTCTATGTCTTGAAAGAATCCCAGCTGCCCAGTGCAGGAAAATTTCCAGAAATGATCTGGGTAACTGGAGAGAAACTAATATAATATAAGAAAATGGGTAAAATATAAGGGATTTACACTTTGGAGTACAGCTACAATTAGAAGCAAAGGATTACATGCACATCTCACAATCTCTTCGAAAACAGTGCTGGGTGGGGGGGAAAGGGTGAGAAACAATGAGATCTATAGCACCGTACCATTTATGTAAATTAAAAATACATGTTTTGTGAACTTACGGTTGCTGGTGGAAAGGACAGTTAGGGAGTTTGGGAAGGTCATGTACACACTGCTAAATTTAAAATGGATAGCCAACAAGGACCTACTGTATAGCACAGGGAACTCTGCTCAATGTTATGCGGCAGCCTGGACAGGAGGGGAGTTTGGGGTAGAAAGGATACATGTATATGCATGGCTGACTCCTTTTGCTGTTCACCTAAAACTATCACAGCATTGTTAATCGGCTATATTCCAATACAAAATAAAAAGTTAAGGGAAAAAACACACGTTTTGCAGGTGCATAAACAACACAAGAGATGATCGTTGAACAGAATAGAAGGGTTGCCTATTAGGGGAGGGGTGTGGGGTAGAGGAATAAAAGAGAATAAATGATAAACAATTAATTAATTAATTTTAAAAACTAATTAAATAAATTTAAAAAATAAATAATAAATAAATTAAAAACTGAGAAAGAAGCCTGCAAGAATAGATGATGGTCATGGTCGTGTACTAGGATATGAGAAAGAATCAATTCACTCTCGGCACCTTGTATCAGAAAGAAAATTTCATGCTAATCTGTAAAGCAGATGAGTTATCCGTGGAAAACTGAGAGGCTGTGAATGAGGACAGCTCTCCTCCCACTATAATCAGAAGTAAAGCCCCCACTTGGTAACCAACATATAAGCACTGTTTATTTTTCCCGGGCATTTCTCCCCAAAGTGGCTTATGCGCTGTTGACGCGCCCAGGCCCGTCTTTAAAAAACACACAGATAACACGGAGGTTGGCCCTGGCTAGATCAACCCTTCCAAAGTTTAAAAAGAGAGAGAGAGAGAGAGAAAGCAAACCAAAAGAAACAGCAGCAGATGCCTTTCTGAAAGGCAAATGAGGCAGGTCATTGGTCGGCACGTGGCTTTTCACCCCGCCCGGGGGGAAGGGGGGCGGAGGCGGGGGATGAAGGTCCTCCAGCGCCCTTCCTTCAGCTCATGCTCAGTGCTGACGAGGCCCTCTGGCCTAGGTTCCCGGCTCAGGTGAGCCACAGGTAGCTCTCTAACGATCAGAGGGGAAGCTGCAGATGCCAAAAGTGGTCCGCCATCCTGTCCGACAAGCTTTCCCGCAAGCCCCCACCCCGATCTCCAGACCTTTGGGAGAGAGACTTGGCCCCACACCCCAGCCTGACGTGGCGGCAGCAGCCGCTTCCAGTGGCTTCTTCGGCTTCGCCAAGTTCCATCGATGTCCTCCTTAACACTGACAGGTTAATCCAGCCACGGCTCATTGGAGAAAGAAAAACTCCAGCTGCTGCCTTTTCCTCTGGGGGTGGGGGGAGGGGTGGGGACGGTACACATTAGCCGGCCTGGGAAAGGCATTTGCAGACCCCCCTGAAAGGCCCCTTTCCTCTGCACACCCTGTTGGTCTCGGCGTCTTAACCCATGGGCCCCACTTTTGGTGCCCGGAATCACAACCGCTGAACCACTGCCAAGAATGGGCCCCCACACCTAATCCATCAGTAAGAGGTGGCCAAGCTACTGCAGAAGCCACCCCGAATCTGACCATCATCTTCTTTGCACCCCCTGGTCCCCCAGGCTGCATCATTGCTCCCCATCACTGGTCTCCTGACTTCCACCCCTGCCTCCTGCAGTCTGCTCTCCACTCAGAAAACAAAGCGATCATTACCAAAATTGTAAACTAGGTCATGTCACTCTTCTGATTCAAACCCTCCCCCCACCCCCCAGTGAAATGAAATCCAGACTCCATGCCTACCCTGGCAGGTCCTGCAGCCCCCAGGCCCCTCCCACCTCGGCCCCCTCACTTTCCCCCCATCCCACTGCACTGGCCTTCTTGCTGTTCCATCAAGACTACATAGTTGTCTCTGCCTTTGCAACTGTCATTCCCCCAGCCTGGATCCTTCTGGCTCCTTCTAGAGACTTAGCTCTCAATCCAACCATTACCATCTCCCCTGGCCATCCTTTTTGTAACTCATTTTTAAACTTTTTATTTTGTATGGGAGTATAGCTGATTAACTATGTGATAATTTCAGGTGGACAGCATATAACTAAATTTTAATTACTAAGTTATCTCTCTCCCTGCACACCATTTATCACTATTTGTCATGTCATGCTGTTTCCTTCATAGCACTTGACAGTCTAAAACCATCTTGTTTCTGTGTTTCTTTTGTTCCTCACTAGACTGTAAGCTCTAGAAAGGCAGGGAACTCTGTCTCATTCACTGCTGAGTCCCCAGTGCCTGGCACATGGTAGGATACAATAAATATCTGAGAATGAATGAATGAAGGAATAAATGAGGGAATAAATAAATGAAAGGAAATGAGTTTGCAGAAAGCAGTGGATCTCAAAGTGGAATTCCTGGAGGAGCAGCATCCATGTCCCCTGGGAATGATGTGTTAGACATGCAAATTCTTGGGCTCCATCCTAGTCCCACTGAATCAGAAACCCTGTGTTAACAGCCCTCCAAGGAATTTTGACCCAGGCTCAAGTTTGGGAATCTCTGTCATAGGGACCACCTGCAGTCTCTCGTCAGATCCCTCTTGTGACTAAGGAGTGCAGAGCTAACTGGCTGGGTGGTCAGTCTTGTTGGAGGAAGGAAGTCAGAAAGGAGGAAGGAGTCAGCCCCATGCCCTTGACTGACCACTGGCCTTTGTACGCCTGGGTAGTCTTCAGAGCCACACAGAGCCGTGCTGAACACACGGAGGCTGGGGAAGGCTTCAGAAACCACGCTGCTCCTCTCCAGAGCAGAAGGACAGGCAACTTGCCCAGGAAGTTACATCTCTGGCCTTTTGAAAGCTCTACAAAGTCCCAAGCACTTGACCTTGGCAGTAAGATGACCAACTGGTCCTGATTTGCTTGAGTTTCTCCCAGGTTTAACACAGGAAGTCCTGCCTGCCAAGAATCCCCTCCATCCCAGGCTAACTGGGAGTTGGTTCACCCTACTCAGAGACCCAACTTGAAGTCTCGGGACTTGTAAATGCATTCCCTTCCCAAGTCACTTTGATATGTCTACCTGGGTGAGACTAAAGATGGGATGGGGAAGGGCAGAATTTAGGAGAGGAAGATGGAAAGAGATTGGGAGAAAATGCCAGCCAGAAGGAGAGAGCAAAGATCAGATGAGGGAGAAAGAAGGGGAGGAAAGATGAACTATGAGAAGAAAGAAAGGGAATTTTTAAAGGGTGGGAAGGATGGAGAAGGGGATGCGGTGGGGGTGTGAGAAGGGGAGAGAGAAGAGACAGAGACTTGGAGACACAGTGCTACAGTGACAGAAAAAACTGACAGGTAGAGGGGATGGGACAGGGGCAGGCTGGTCTGGGGGGGAGAGTGGACCACACAGATGCCTTCTGGCAGCATCTCGCATAGAAGGCCTCCCGACAAACTTTGAGAAATCATCTCTCTTCTCAGGAGCCCCAGACACCACCTCGCCATCAATGGCTGGCACCAAACTTGCTTGCCTAATCTGTTTTCTACTGAAAGCTGCTTCCATTCACAAGCTGCTGCTTATCATGGTGTAGATGCATTCCAGAGGAAAGGAAGGAAAGAAAGAAAGAAAGAGAGAGGAAGAAAGAAGAAAAAGGCAGCTGAATGAACTTAGAAGATTATATTAAGAGATGCGGAGAGATTTTTTTTTCTCCCGCTCTCCAAATAAATCTTTCACGAAGCAAACACCATTTTGACACTGTCAGATGAATTTCCTCTTGTTGATTGATTGCAGAGGGGTGGGCAAAGCCCCCAGCTTCCTGAGGCCGGTTATCTTGCTCACTAGCTGCATTCCTAAGCTTACAGAGTCTGACACAGCTCCACTACAATGAGATTTAAGTGTGCATTATGTCTTTAAAAGTAATGACAGCAAGACAATTACTTCGAAGAAACCACAGTGACACTGCATACACAGTCTGGTGCCTCAGCACTGCACCCTGGTCTCCCACTTTTCCCTGGCCCAAATGGGAAGTTGTGTTGGACTAAGAGAAACCAAGTCTGTTTCCTGGTCAGGCTGAAGGGGTGATCCTTACGACCTTGACAACAAACCATCCTATAACCCGAGTCCTTGCATCCTGCCTGAGAAAGAAGCAGCCTCCTAGAGCACTCAGGTTAGCAGGGAATGCTAGGTCCAGCTTGTGCTCCCATGGGAAAGAGAGGGAGCCAGTAGCAGAAAGTTAATGATGTGTCCTGGGGAGGCAACAGACCCAGTTCTCAGACCCTTGGGGGATGTGGAGGGTGGGGGACCATGGCAAAAAGCGTGAAGCTCACAACACACCTAGAACTGTTATAACTAACAGCTGTGAAAGTGTTTTGCATTTCAAATAACTCTTTAATCTGTAGCATTGGCGGTTTAGGAAAACACAGAGCACAAGGCCCTGCACTCAGGGTTTCTAATGGGACAGGTCCAGAACCTGACCCGAGAATCTGCCTTTCTGAACAAGTTCTCAGATGATGCTGATACCGCTGCGGGTGGGGATGGGAGGTGGCGACGACCGTACTCTGAGAACCACCAAGTCAGATGAACCACCCAGTTCAGGTGAATCAGTCTCTTGAGCACTGACAGCTTTTATAGCAGAATGGGAACCCAGCAACATTTGTCTTTCTCTGCCATTTGCCCTCCCAGGTAAAGCCGCAAGCTTACTTTGTGCAAATGCTGCTTCTCACTCGCAAAAAGCTTTTCAAAAAGCTCCCCTCACTTTTCAGAAAGGATTTTACAACTCCTCCTCGCTAAAGCGTAAGTGACTAATAAGGCAGGATGCATTATTCCACCCCAAAAGCATCTGCTCTTCATCCAAGAGCAAAGTCTAAAGACAAAGAATGAAACTTTAATGATGGATTTTCACATAACCGTGAGCTGAGTGTTTTAGGGTGATGAAGGAAGCCCTCTTTGTACTAAAACCCGTCCCCTCCCTGAAAAGATCACATTTTGTAGGCAGTCGCTTACTTTATCTAAGTCCCAAAGGGATTGTGTCTTTGTCACTATTATTTTTTTTGCCAATGCCCACCATGGTGCCAGGCATACAATAAGTACTCAATAAATGTATGACATATGGATAAATGTCAGCTAACTCTTTGACAAGAGAGAAAGGCCAGTTCTTTGCCTGTAGCAGATCTGAGATGAAAGCTAACGCCTTTTAAACTCTTCACCAATAACTCATCATAATGAACCAATGCTAACTAAGGACCTACTGCATGCAGGTCACTGGTTGGACCACAGGCTAAAGGCATCTCTCCAAATTGACCAGTTCACTAGTCAATCAAGGTTTCATTCATTCATTCACTCATGCAAGTCATTGCTGAGCACCTGCCGTGCTAACTGTGACTCTAAAAAGGAAGGGGGTACAGCCTTGGCCCTAAGGATCTTGCCGTGTAGCATCTTGGGAGCTGTATGTAGGAACACCCACCGTGGCAGGGGAAGCACCAAGGTAGGAAGGGAGGGAAAGCTCAAGTCACCTAGGAAAAACCCCTGGGTTCCAAGCTGGTGAGTAGAGATGATTCAGCAAAAGCCTCCTAAGGCTTCAGAGGAACAAAGGACCCAGAGTAGTCAGGAGGGCTTCTCCCCCAAATGCCCTCCTCCAGGGCCTGCCCACCACACCACGACTGTCCTGTTTCCTTGGGGCCGCAAAGACTTCAAGAAAGGTGGTCATTATGCCCATTTCATGGGTGGATAAACTGAGGTCTGCCACCCCCACCCCCCGGCAACTGCACAAAGACTACGTACTAATAAGTAAGTGGAACTGGAAGTCCCCTATCTCCACGCAATGTCCTCTCTCTCCTGGGTCCCAGGGCTGTTTGCCTGGCATAGAGGAGTCACCTTTCTCTATCCTAACTCAGTCTTATTTAGGTCAGGGGTGACTTCACTGCTACTATCACCAACAGCATCCCCATCACTAGCATTTATTGGACACTTACTCCTTGCCAGGCTCAGTGAGAAGCAGTTTGCAAACATTAACTCAAAATGCTCACAGTTCCTTTATTACCCTCACTTTAAAGATGGAGAAACTGAAGCCCAGAGAGGTGACATGACATAACTAGGAAGTGCCAGAACCATTATTTAAGCTCAGGAAATCTATTTCCAGAGCCTATGCTCTTTACCACCACACTGTGCTCCCTTACTGCACCTGAGGAAAATGAGGCTCAGAGAGGTTTAGGGTCTCGCCTGAAGTCACACAGCAACCAAGCACTGGAGTCAGGATTCAAACTCAGGTCTGGTTGCTCCCAGCATCTCACACTGCAGCCCCTAGAGGCTAAAAAGGCTGCTTAAAGAAACAGGGGTGGGGAACAGGAAGGAGAGGTGGCTATTTTTGTGGTACCTCCTTCACTCTCCTAGCACATCAAGGATCTCCATCCTGGGTGGCAGCTGAATAATTTAAGCTCATCACTCCAGCCCACCACTACTGGGTCCCAGATTTATTTTTATCCCAGGTTACAGCCACAGTGCTTAACAGAAATAAACCATGCTGTTTGCTTCTCACTGCCTTTACATCAACTCCTGATTTGCCTGCATTCATAACCAGCTCCCAACTTGAAGGGGATAAAGAGCAGACGATAAGCCCATATGTCATGGTGGTTTTTATTAGAAAGTGTCAGATTCTCTATGACCCACAGAGAGACAGATAGAGAGGGCTAAATAAAGAGTAAATAACTCAGCCTACAGATAGACCCCCAGAGCAGCTACTCTGACCAGACCCGCAGCCTTAGATAGGCAGCCAGGATGTGTACAGGCAGCAAGAAAACAAAAGCCACAGCAAGCAGGGGGGACTGGCCTCCCGGGCCACCGATTCGAACTGCAGGATCTCTGGCCACTGCCCCCCCCCCACCACTGAGAGAAAGGAATGTCCGCATTTGTCCCCACAGCTATGCTTCCTGATCACCTCACAGGACAGAAAATTGGAAAGTCCTCCCCCTGCACCCCGGTTGGGTCAGGGGAGTGGCGGCTGCTGGAGCCAGGAATGACGGCAGGATGCCTTGTCCTTGTATGTTGTTGTGCATGACTCACTGTGTGGTCTTGGGCAAGCTGCCTGCCCTCCCTGACCCCCTGAAGACTAGATCAGAGGTTCTGAACTTGGGGTCCTCAGATAGGCTATAGGGTATAGGCATCTTTCCAGAGTGGAGGTTCTCAAAGGGATCCTTGGTGTCTTTCTGGGATAAGTCTCTAGAGGGCTTTCAAGCGCTGCCAGATCTGGATGTCTGTGCAACTGAAGCCACAAACTAATAAGACCCCTCTCCAGCTGAGCACAGGATTCTAGGAACCTAGGGAAGTTCTCACAAGAGCCAGTCTCCATCTGACTCACCCAGGCAAAACCTGCTCAACACATCTGATAAATTCCCAAACACAGGGCTAACCCTTCCTAGAAGCATGAGTGTGCACACGGATAAATATACATAGTCAACACTCATCACACAGTTATAGAGCCTCAGAGATGGAAGCGGCCTTGGGGTCACCTAGACCAGCTACTTCATAGCACAGATGTGGAAACTGAGGCCCAGAAAGGGGAGGCAGAGCTGGGGCTGAGACCCAGGTCTCCTGATCCAACTCCAAAGCTCTTTCCAGAAGCTTCTGTTTCCCTTATGCTGGTGCACCACAATGCACCAATTCAAATGTGATGAGGGGGGAGGGAGGGCAGCCTCTTGGATCTTAACCACCCCCAAGGAAGTAAGGATGGGAGGCAGCAAGTAGATGTTCAAAAAGCACCCATGGGTGGACAACCCAGTCCCAGCTACCTCAGGTGGGCTGGCCTGCCCTGAATGGCTGAACCAGTGGTTATCATATGTATGTGTAACTGAATCACTTTGCTGTACCCTTGAAACTAATGCAACACTGCAAATCAACTCTGCTTTTATATATATATATATATATATATATATATATATATATATATATATATATATATATTCACTCCTACACTGGATGGTTATATTGCATTGGCTGGTTATATTGCCCCAGCCCCCTAAACCTCCCTGTAATCCAGCAATTAAAGAGCTAACACTCAGCACGGCAGGAACCCCTGAGATCTCCCATCCCAGGACCCCAGCCATGGTCCAGTCTGATCAGTTAGTGCCAAAGTTCAAAATTTTAAATATCACCCATGGGCCGGTCTGCAGCTCCTTATTTGAGCCAGATTTCCCCACATTCATCATTCACACCTAGCTTTCCCAAGCAGGAGACAAAGGCAACTTCCTCCCCAAGGTCACCCAGCAAGGAAAACCTGGGAATTCTGAGGACCAACTCTTTGGTACTAATCACCAAGCATCCCTTCCCACTGCCTCACATGTCATGTCCTGCCTGAGCAGTCATATGCCTTCAGATTTTGGTGTCCCCACTTGGCTCTGGGGCTGGAGAAATTGACTGAGTGGGCCCTGCTTACGCTTGCCAGTTTTGGGGACTGATGTTTTATTCCTCCCACCTCCAAGAATAAGAACTAGAAGAGGAAATCCTCGGGGAGGAGGTGGCCCCTGAGATAATAGTGAAGATGCTAAAAATAAAGACATTCATTTCCAGAAAGGTAGATATAATCAAACCAGGAAGCAAAGCAAATCCCCTTTTGATGGGTCACAGATTAGCAGCAAAGGCTTTTAAAATTAAATGTGAGTTTTGGATTCAGTTACAAGGGACCTCCCCCTCCCACTCACTAACAGGTTGGTGAGGCTGATCCCATCAGAATAAAGAAACTAGAGCAGGGTATGGTCTGTCCTGGAACAGATCTGAAGCTGGAGCCTAGAACCCTTCCCCAGAAGCTGAACAAACCTTATTCACTCCTTTGCCTACTCTGAGACAGGCTCAAGGATGAAACCCTCTGTGTAATCACTTACAGGTTATACCACCTGTGAAAATAAAACCCTCTCTGCTCAGCAGACAGCTGGCTGCTCCCCTCTGACCTGCCTGACCACTCATTCCAAGAAAAATCTGATCCTTTCATGTCTCCCAGATCTCTCATCTCAGGAAACTGTGAACAGGCAAGCTTGCACAAAACCACCACAATTAAATTACTCAGCTGTCCTTGGAAGATGGTACAATCTGCACCCAGTCCTATGCAAGCTTCAATTGGCATGCCTAGGTTACCCTAGGCAAGGGTTAACCATCCAGCCATAAGTGATCCTCTCTCATCCAGAGTCAAGGTGCCCATCCACTAGATCAGAATACCCAGAGACTGTCCATTCCAAGCTGGCCAGCACCACAAAGGGTTAATTCACTCAGAGAACTGCTGGCTACTTTCAAAAGCTTCTGTTGCAAGGGAGAGGACAAATTGGGCAGAAGCCACAATTTTGATTGCATTGCCTAAAACATGAGCATATTTTACCCCTATCCTGGGCAGTGAGCCGAAATCTCATTTGGCTTTGGGGTGCCTCTTAGGCAATCAAACACTGCAGAATGTGGGCAAATAAACGTGGTCATTCCTTAACACCCTTTCCCTCCCACCTAACCTCTATCCCACCAGGTCATGTACACACCTCATTGCAACTGGGACTCCAATACCTAGTCCATTTTCACAATTGAGAAGAATATCACTTACCAAGACACCAGAGGATTGCAGGGGGAATGGGCGAGCCAAATTCTTGCCAACTCCTCTCTTCCCTGACGGGTGGGAAGATGCTAACTCTGGATGACTTGGTTTGAAAGCTCAGTGGAGGTGCCTGAAAGAAAATTGTTCATTTGACTTTCCTACTCTTCCCAAAATAAAATCAAAGCAACTGCACACACGCACACATGCACGCACGCACACACACACACACACACACACACACACACACACACACAGCAACTATCCCTAAGTCACGCAGGTCCAAGATGAAAAGAAATACCACTGCCAGAGGAGGAGAAGACTCAGACCAGCTAGTCGAGGTAAAGACAGTGGCTCCCTCAGCCTGCCCTCCACATGGATGAAGGCTTTCACTCTCTGGATCTCTCTTTCTCTCTCTGTCCTCTCTCCCTTTCTGCCTCTCTTTCTCTTTCTGTCTGTCGTCCGCGTAGGCAACTCCGGGGCTGCTGGCAGTAGACGAATCAATCGCTTCCCCGGTGCGGGAATCACTGGCGGCCGCCACCACTGCTGCAAACCCGGCGTGAGCAAGGGAGGGGGCAGCAGTTTCCCGGAGCAGGGGAGCCAAGCCTGCCTCCCCCCCGCCGTGATTTACGTGTGAGGTGCCTGGGGAAAGAGGGGTGGGAGCCCGGGAGGTGAGATCCTAGCTGGTGGAAATGGCCATCGGGAGATTGGCGATCAGCACCGCGGACAGCGCTAAAATGCGGCGGCGGAGGGGATGGGAGGGAAGCGAACCCTCAGGCTGCGAAGTTAAGTAATTGGATGGTTAGAGCAGAAAAGGGGGAGAGTCCAGGGAAGGTGGGGGTGGGGGAGTGGCGGGGAACGGGATTTCTTGAAATCACACAGTGAAGTCAGTGACAGCCTACCTACCACACACTTGTTCTAATCTTGTCGTTCTCTCAGAGCAAAGAAGCTGTAACTTTACAGCCCTTTTTCCACATACGCCCCCAGACCTTCACTGCTTGCTCAGAAAAGAGTTTGACCCCAGTGTGGGAGCCTCCAAGTGGCTCCTCCCCACCAAATCAGCCTAGCTGACCTGTCCTCACCCACACTGCTGCAGATTTCTGACCTATACCTCAGGTGCCTTGAAAATCAGGGCAGGAAGATGAGGCTTAGGAAATGGAAATTTCTATGGGGCAGGATGGCTTAGTTGAATAAGCGCTTGACAGGTTTCTGGAACCAAGTCGAGCCCCCATACAACCTTGGAAAAGTCACTTAACATCTCCAAGTCTTATCTGCATAAAATGAGCATATGACTACGCAAAAAGTTAAAAAGCAACAATAAGAACATCCAAGTTGTGGGCTGCTATAACCCCATGATCCATAATCTGTCCTGTGATTCAAATGTCTTGACAGAAGGAGAAAGGAACTGACAGCCAATCCAGAATGGTATATGCTAGCCTCACCTTTCAGTTCATGGTTTGAGTGGGATGAAGCTGGGAAATTCTAGAAGGTCTAAATCAGACAATTGAGCCATGGCCAAAGACCTAAACCCCAAAGACCCAGATTCATCTTCTGAAGTGAAATCACTATACAGACAAGAAAATAAAATCATTAAAAGGAGAAATACATAAAGAGAAATTGACTGAACTTTCCTGGTAGTACAGTGGATAAGAATCTGCCAGTCAATGTAATGGACAAGGGTTCAATCCCTGGTCCAGGAAGATTCCACATTCCGTGGGGCAACTAAGCCCATGCATCACAATTACTGAAGCCCATGTGCAGAGCCTGTGTGATGCAACAAGAGAAGCTACTGCAATGAGAAGCCCGCACACCACAACTAAAGAGTAGTCCCCACTCTCTACAACTAGAGAAAGCCCGTGTGCAGCAAAGAAGACCCAGTACAGCCAAAAAAATTAAAATATACAATTGTTTTAAAAAGAGAGAAGCTGATTCCCATGGCTTCCAACATTCCAGATCTCAATAGGTCTTATTCCTGCTTGTTGGGAGGAAAGGACAGGAAATCTCAAATACACCAGGATCTGTTTAGAACTTCTCAGCAAAGTGAATTAGAACCCTGTTTACTGTGGACCTTCCTCTAGACAGTCCCACTGAGGGGGCCCAGAGTGAACTACCACATTCGTCACCTAATCTCCTCCTTGAAAAGTAGGGCTTAAAATGTCAGGATCTTAAAGACCACTTAAGAGCTTCACTTTATCAATGATCATGATGATGGTGATGATGGTGATGATGATGGCAGCTGTCATTTTATTGAGAACCAACTACACACAAGCCCTTTGGCTAAGGACTTTACATGTGTCATTTCCTTGAATCTTTACCATGACATTTTGAGGGAACTATTATTACTCCCATTTTACAGTTGAGGAAACTGAGACTCAAGAAGTTAAGTCTCTTGCATAATGTTACACCGGAAATGTCAGACATAGGATTGAAATCCAGGGCTGTATAATTCCAAAGCCCATGCTTCAGGATGCCTCTCTCAGAGTCAAGTTCAAATGAATTCTACAATTCTTTGGCAGGACTTCATTGAATATTTTCTAGAAAGATCCTATGACACAAGTTCAATGCTCTCATTTTGCATATGGAGAAACTGAGTAACAGAGAGAGACAGTGGCTTGCCCATAGCTAAAAAGATATAAAGTAGCAGAGTTGAGTCTGGACCTTAGGCCTTTCAGATGCCAAGGCCTGTGTTCCAGCGTCTAGAACAGTATCAGGTGCATGTCTCAGTAGACATCTGAAGACTGATTCAAGAAACCCACATAGAATGACGATGGTGGAATCAGAATCCAATTAATTCCCAGGTCTTTTGGCTCCCAGTTTCAAGGAATGTCTACCCACCTCCCCCCACCTCACAGCTTCCCTGGCCTTAGGCACATGTTCTGGGAAGGTCTGTCATGAATTCAGATCACCCTTAGGGAACGAAAATAGCTACCACCTGCTAAATGTCTAGACATCTGCCACCTGTATTAAGCACTTTATGGTTGCTAACTCCAATCTTTATAACTATGAGGTGGGTGCTATTGTTGTCCCATTTTCAGTTGATGAGACTGAGACTCAGGTGAAGCAAAGCCCCGAAGCTCACACAGCCAAGAAGTGGCACAGGCAGAAATGCAAATCTTGGGTCTGTCTGATTCCAGGGCCTCTGTTTTTGCTACCCTGCTAGTTTTTTCTCAAACTGGCCCCCTCTCAAGAGGCCCCTGTTGGAGTGTAAGTGAGGCCTGAGTTCCACCACGCCCCCCCCCACCCCTGCTTTCAACCTGAGCAGTTGCACTTTTAAATGTTTTGCATACTGGGCATCTGCCCAAGTCTTCATTGGAACAAAGCTTTGCAGCAAAATTAAAAAATAATAATATGGTTGAAACCAGAGCTCTGCACCTTTCCCGGTGACCATGCCATCTAGGAACCAACTCTGCCTTCTCAGATTTTGCCTCCAGCCTCTCTACCTCCCTGGTCACCATCTTCAAACCCCTCTTCCATTCTGAGAGCTTCTGGAGAGAACTCTTCATTCAGAGAACCAGCTGTGGCTGTGAGCTCTGGCAGCTCTGCAGCAGGGAGATGCCTGGACACCAGACACCCCAAGGCTAACTAAGCCCAGCCAGGCTCTGATCTTCTCGAGGATGGAGCACTGCAAAGGAATTTCTCAGGACCCTGGATTCAGCAAGCTGTCCTGGCCTGTCCTTGTGCTGCTGAGACCAGAGGCAGCCCATTAAGACTCTCCATCACCTCCAGCATAGACAAACAGTGGTGATGGTGGTGGTGACTGTAACAAGAGCTACCTGCTGTGTGCTGGGTGACTCGTATGACCAGCTGTTATGTCATCCTCACAACAATCCTGTGTGTTAAGATGGCAATTGTTTTATTTCCATTTTAAAAAATGAGAAAACTGAGACTCGGTTGCCTGAAACAACTAGCCCTTTAGTTCATAAATGGTACCACTGGGATTTGGACCGAGGTTTATAAGTATTATGCTACATGACATCCTAGTTAAAATTGCTGCTTCCATTTTTTTTACGTGCATATGATTCACCAGCCGACATGTTTTATCACCCCAGCAATATTCATGACTTGTAACAGTGAAATGAGGTTGTACTGCATTATTTGCCCATCTTAAGAGATGAAGAAACTGGACACAGAGAGCCCAGGTGATGTGCCTAAGGTAAGACAGCTAGAAAGAGATGGGGAGGGCAGGATGTGAATCTGAACAGTCAATCTCAGGGGCCTTGTGCTCTTCTGTCTCCCGGAGAAATGGTGCTGAGTTTGTCCAGAAAGAGCAAATGTTCCCATTTCACTTGGTGAGTGGGGCAGAATAACAGCCCTCAAAGATGTCCACGGGCTAATCCTCAGAAGTGGTGAACATGTTACCGTATGTGGCAAACGGCACTTAGCAAGTATGTTAAGGATCTTGAGATGAAGAGATTACGCTGAGTTATCTGGGTGGACCCAGTGTAATCACTACTGTGTTATAAGGGGAAAGGGAGGCAGGAGGATCAGAGAGGAGAGGTGATAATGGAGTAGAGGGTTGAGAGAGGTGGGGAGAGAGAAGGAGATGGAGAGAGAGCGAAGAAGGAGAGGGAGAGAGAAATAAAGAGAAACAGAGGGAGGGAGGGAGGAAGGAAGAGAGAGAGAGAGAGAGCTGTGTTATTGGTCTTGAAGATGGAGGCTGCTGCTGCTGCTGCTAAGTCACTTCAGTCGTGTCTGACTCTGTGCGACCCCATGGACAGCAGCCCACCTGACTCCTCTGTCCACAGGATTCTCCAGGCGAGAGTACTGTAGTGGGTTGCCATTTCCTTCTCCAGAATATGGAGGAAGGGGCCACAAAGCAAGGAATGAGGGAAGCCTCTAGAAGCTAGAAAAGGCAAGGAAACAGGTTCTCCTTGAGAGCTTCCAGATGGAGCACAGCCCTGCCAACACCTTGATTTTAGCACTCTGACCTCCAAAACTGTAAGACAATAAATCCGTGTTGTTTTAACCCACCAAGTTTGTTGATATTTGTTACAGCAGCCATAAACCCATACAGCAAGTTTGCTGGAGGACCCTACAATAAGAAACGCAAGGCAAATCAGCCTCAGGAATCACACCTGAGCCCCCTCTTGGTCAGAGGACCCAGGGCTTCAGTCATATCACTGCCTGTTCTAAACAGTACAGTGTACATGTGTGTGCAGGTGTGCATGTGCACACACGACTGTACATGAGTGCACACAGAAGGAGGCCCTACAAGAGAGAAGATTCACGCTCAAAGCCTCAGCCCAACCATCAAGCTCTGTCGCTGGATGGCACTGGCAGGGCACGACATGCTTTATTCACTCCCTCCTTCTCTTTTTTTAAGAGCCTCCAGGGAAATGCTATCATCGGGACCACAAAAGAGAAGAAATGTCACAGGGCAGCTTTCCAGGAGCACAACTCATCACAGGGGATCAGTCAAAGACAAAACAAGTAGATGGAGCAGAGAGACAAGCAAGCAAGAAAAAGAGAAAGAGCTAAAGAGGGAGAGAGAATTGCTGGGTTCCCCTCACAATTGCTTTGTGCCCTGGGAGATCCTGTCCCACCAGGAAAGGGACAAATCTTA